TTTTCGTGAGTTGAGAGAAACAAAATAAAAAAATATCCTTTTTTTTTTTGTTTTGCCGTGTGAGTAGCGTAAGTATAAAAAAAAAAGAAAAAAAAATCTTGTTTTGGGTTTCAAATTCTGTGCGTGATCAACCAAAAAAAAAAAAATAAATAAAAAATTCCGTTGAGTTGTGGTAGAATTTTTTCGGGATATTTATTTGGCCGAGGGGAATTAAGGAGTAACTTATAGGTTGGGGAGTTAGTTTTGCTTTCCTTTTAGGAGGGTTTGGGGTTTATTATATTAGCCTTTACTAGCTTTTTAGTTTTTAGTGTGCGTGAGTTGCTCAAGAAATAAAAAAAAAATGTTGATGAGTAATTTGGAGTGGAAGGATCGAATGTAGAAGGTGAAGTTAGAATGGTGGATTGACGAGGTCAATGAAGAAATTCAATAGTTGAAACGCATAGGGAAAATAAGGTGGTTGAAGGATAAAGAATGCGATAAGTTGGACGAGTTGCGTAAAGAGCGAGCAAAGTACCGGGCGAGGTTGCGCAAACTCGAGTCACGTACGGACGTATACCACGATGATGACATACTCATGGACGTAGAAAAGACCACGGTAGCCGAGGACAAAGAAGAGACTGTGGTCAAGTCCAAAGAAGCCGAAGTCATCGAAGACAAGAAGGAGATTTTTGTCGTGGTCGAAGAGGGCCTTGGAGAGGAGACGCACGTGGAGTGCGAGGTGGTCGATGTCGAGAATGAGGTAACTTGGTTGATAGTCGAGGACGAGTCCTTGAGGACAAGGACATTCTCAAAGGGGGCGGGAATGATGAGAATGCGGGTTTCGACCCCCGAAGATGAGAAGGGCCGAGGACCGATACTATCCGAAAAGGCCGAAGAAAGGGCCAAAACCACACATGCATGGCCTAAGCGACAAGTACGAGCCCGTATGCAAGGCACACGAGAACAAAATAAACGACACGAGTCGACCCGTATGTGACTGAGGAGATCGATATGCCGAGGACCGACCCAGAACAACAGGTGAAAGTCCTGAGTAAAGAGTCGCACAAGGACGGGAAAGCGCGTAAGAGGCCAAAGTTTCCGCGGAAGAACATGGCATGGATGCACGCGATAGGCTGACTTACGGGTGAGCCTGGACGTGGGCGTATACACATGGACGGACCTGGACTGAGGGACTCGCACGAGAGTGGACCTAGCAGGTTGAGGGGCTGGCAACGGGCCAAAGGCACGTGCCACGATCAACCGAGAGAGAGCGAGAAAACGAGTGGAGGCTTGCGTGCCGACCACTCGCGAACATGGCGGACACGCGCTGGGCGCAACAAGCGGGCGCGCGGCAAGCAATGCGTGGGACGCGTGGGACGCGGACGAGCCTGATGTCGAGGAGGACAAGGACTAGTGCGACGTGGCTAGGGTTGGTGCAAGGTGCGGCGCAAGTAAAGTGATTGGCGGCTGATTTACTTAGCTTGTTAGGATTTCTAGTTATGGTAGGATATGAAATAAAGGCATGTGCCTTTTTAATTATTTAGTAAGAATAAGATTCTAGATATTTAGTTACCTTAGGAGTTTATATTATTTCTATTTCTAGTTAGAGTAGAATTAGATCTAATTAGCATCTATAAATACTAGGCTTTGTCATTCGATTTTCATCATTGAAGTAACAAGAAAATCCGAACGTTTGTTCATCTTCTTGTGTTTAGAATTCTTAGAGTTTTATCACAAAACCCTTGTCACGAAAAGGGCGTTCACCGCATAGTGCATTGCAAGTTCAAGTTTGGTAAGGACGCACGTCCGAGCTGTCTCACCTATCGCGAGAAGATAAGGAGCTAACCTCCAAGTCGTCCGCACAATCGCCGAGTAGAAGCCGTTCGCGCGCGCATCTTTGATGCATCCGCACATCCGAGACACACGATCTTCATCAGAAGCATGCTGTGCGCACTATACTGCGATGCAGTACCCTAGTGGCCTCGCGCTATGTGACATTTGCTGTCACCCGAGTGCTGCGCGTAATTTCCCGCTTCTCCTCGCAAGTGTCCCACCGTGCACGAGCGTGCGCGTAGCTTCCAGTGCCAGCGTGCAGTCCCCATCCCCAGCGAAAGTAGCACGACCCAACATCCCAGCAACCCAAGTGCCCCATTCGATTTATTCAAGTTCTCGTTTTATTTATCGATTTGCATTGTGTTATCTTCTTGTATTGATCGACATATATCGTTTAGACTTATTATAATTAGTTAGATGTCCTTGCCTAATTAATCTAATAAATAGCTTAATTCTATTATTTGTTCGTCATCAAGCGTCGTTTGTAATCTTTCGGTATTCTCGCATGGTCTTTCGAGCCGTAAGTTTATTACTTGGCCTCTTTGCAAGGCCCAATTGAAATTTATTTCCATCTCTTTTTCATTATATTTATTTAATGTCCGGCCCAATTAATTAATTAATTTTTGGCCCATTCTTCTTGTTTTATTAGGCCCATTTGTGTATATTTCCCAGCCCACTTGAGATATGCGACCGAGTCTTCTCCCTCATCGTAACATTTTTTTTTTTTGTTGTGATTTTGCAGCGAGATTTTTTTTATCTCTCAAACGACTCACCCTCTTTCGTCTCTTATATCTCGGCAAAGGGAAAAGAATTTTCCAACATCTCAGAGAAATTACTCCCTATGTCCCTTCATCGTTCATCCTTGCCTTTAGTTAAAAAAAAAATCTCTTCATTATTTCCGGCGACCTGCAAACATCCTCGCCAGCGTCCCTGTTGTTATGTGTGAATTAACAAGGATTAATTAAAGCAAGTTGTATCAATTATCAAAGAAGTTCTTGTCTTTACAAAATGGTAAAACGTGTTCTATTGAATGAGAAAGTTCTTATTTCCTCCCCTCCTTCTTTTTTGGAAGCTTCTCTGAGCTGTTTTTATAGTATAGTACAAAATCATCGAGACTATCATAATTCTCAAAGAAAAGTCAATGGCGGCCGATTGCCACTCATTCTTGTAACACGCCACTTGGCAAAGCGTAATGATGGTTTGCTGAGTTGGCACCGCCTCATGATGTTGGTTCGTCATATCAGTTCGCTAGGCCATAACCGATACGAGATGTCGGTTTTTTGACGACGACGTCGGTATTTGGCTCATTCTTATCCGGCTTGTGGTTTACTTGAAATTCGTGAGTATATCAACTTCTGAGATAGCATAATCTTCTAATTACTGAGCTCCTGGTGCCAATAATTATTAATTATTCGGTTTAGCGAAAACCATGTCAACAAGGTGGCCCCCAGCATTAATGGGCGTCTTGAAGAAGACGAGTATTGATGCTGAAAAATATCATGAAATTCTTAATTTGAGAAAGCTAGACATGTCGGTTTTTTGTTGTAGTGCCCCGACGTCTCCACACTTGGTGTGGAAAAGGAACTGGAAGTTGAAACGGTACAATCTGCTAGAATTAATTACAACGTTCGCTGACGGGACAACGGTTACTTTTTATAGGCCACGTAGCTGCCGTCGATAGGCGCAGTTCTCAAGGGTCGCGTTCACTCGTGAGATTAGAAAGTGCAATCCACGCGCCCCTATTTCTTTTTCTCCTCAACGGTCACTACTGAATTTAGGGTTAAGTATAAATAACAAATCGTCCCTTGAAGTTTATTCTATCTCCAATTTCCCTGTGCAATCTAATTTCCTGCTTTCTTGCAACTTTGTCGCTTCTTTTGACTTATCGACTCATAACTGAATCCTTCAGAGTACTTCCTTCAGATCTGTGAATTTCTTCTCGTGGTAAGACTTATTTCTTAGTTTTGTTTATCCTTTTCGGTATATTTTTTCCTCGAATCATGAGTGTGTCGTGGGCATCTTCTGGTGACGACGAGCTGGACGTCATGATGATCAACATGGTCATTCCGGGGAGATGGAATTGCTTTCCGAGTATAATCGGTGGGATCCAATTTTTATCGAGCGATTGAATATTCGATTAAACGATACCGAAGGGGACAAAAAGGTGGAAGAGAATGCTGTTGACGATCCGAGATATTGGAGACGACCTATTAGAAGGTGGCCAGACCCGAAAGTAAACTTTCATGGAGAGCCGAGTATATTAACAGACGCTGAAATCATTATGCTGCAGAGTGAGATTCGAGTCCCTATGTCGATACATTTATTTGCGCCGTATCCTGGGGAAAGGATTACATGTCCTCCGCCAGGGTGTGTCGGTGTGTTTGCTGAAAGTCTAAGATCGGGATTGCGATTTCCCCTACCACGCATAATCACCGAATACTTACGGAATTGGGAGTTGACCTTATGTCAAATTGCTCCGAATTCATGGAAGCGGGTTATCGGAATGCTCGCTTTTTGCAGAGAAGAAGTGGGATTTGTCGTCAGCGAGTGACATGAGAAGTATGTTTACTTTTCGGAAAAGCCCGGATAGACAAGTGACAGACCCGCTTCTTACCTTTTCGATTGTCGGTAAACCTCAATCAAGGGTCAAGGTTGGTGAGTTGATAACGGAAGTTCCTGACACGCTTCATGGATTTCAGGAAGAATGGTTGTGGGTTAGTGGAGACTGGCAGTGTGCCGACTTTGCTAACGATCTTCTTACCAATGGGACAAGTATCCCAATGGCTGTTAAATCTGGTTATTGTAAGTTAATTTTTCTTTTTTCTTCATTTCGAGTATTAATTTCTTGTTTTTTGTTTTCGCTAACAGGTGGACTTTTGTGACATTGTAGCCAAACCACAAGGAAAGAAAGAACCCCGATTTGTAGGATTGATGTATGATCGGGTTGACAAGTTATTCGAACTTTCTTCGAACAAGCGAAGATATCAACGATTGGTGAAAGGCTCTCGGTTGGAGCTAGCCGGCTTATCTCCTGGGATTTTAGATTCTTCATTTCAACTGGGTGAGTGCCTTAATTGCTTTCTTTTATATTTCACATCGGTAACTTTGGTTTTAACTTGAAATGTCTTGTATGGCAGTGTATTATCCGTTGTTAGGGTATTTCGGTTTCGGAGATCCCATAGAAGCAGAAGAACATCGGAGACACAATCCAAACTTGGGTTTGAAGAATAAAGTCAGAAAAAGCAAAAGTCTCCGATCAACCGAGATGGCAGAACATATAAATTTACTTAAGGCATGGAAAAAGAACCCTAACCGATCTCAAAATGTTGTCGACGAACCATCATCGACAAGGGTGGAGCCGACTCCAGCTATTGTGAGCGAGTCAGCCACTGTGGATAATCAACCGCTCACTGTTGAGCCAATACAACAAGTTATAATGCCATCACATGAGCCCATTGCTGAAACCGAAGTCTCGCAGGAAATGCCTGAAGAACCTGCTCTGAGCTTGGTAAGTCGTCGTAAACGATCAAGTGTATCTCATGTAGCAGAGCAGATGAAGAAGAGGTAAGATATCGGTGCAGGCAAAGATAAGGAAGTGGAAGAACCGGAAATTACTTTGAGGTCATCCTTTCTGAAAGTGAATGAGAAGAAAGCCGCAGACTTAACATTGCCAGAGGATGTGTTCGAGCCATGGTTCTCGATGTTCCAAACTGTCAATGAGCCCAAACTGCCGAATAATCATTGATTTCCTGGAGAGGCAGTGGATGCAGCGAAGGTCCCTCTAATGTCATGGGATCCAAAGACTCATGCCGGGATAACATCGTTGCTTGATGACAAAAAATTTAGCTATGCGAAGGACTGTCTAGGACGGGCACTTGTTAGCTTTGTCGTTGCCGAGGAGAGTTATCGTAACAAAGTTGCAGATCTCAAGGAGAAGGACAACGAACTTAGCCTGAAAGATGGGACAGTGGCATCCTTGGAAGAAGAAAAATCTCGGTTTTCGATATCGATGTCAGAAAAAGATGCCCAACTGAAAGCAGTACAAACCGAGGTGAATGCTCTTAAGACTGAGAAGGAAAACTTGCTGCTAGCTCATGATATCATGTTGGTTCAGCTTTCCAAAGTTGAAGAAAAAGGGAAGGAGCAAGATGAGCAGCTCCAGAAATTGAGAGCCGAACTTCAGGCTGTTTGGAAAGATCGCTCGGAAAAGGATGCTGAACTGATTCGTCGCCGAGAAGCGTACGAAGCCGATATAACAAAACTCCGAGCAGAGATGACCGCCGCGGTCGAGGCCAAATTTCAAGAAGGCGTTGAGGTCGGCAAAAAAGACATGGAAAAAACCCAGGAGCCAAGCGGTGATGCAGCGGTTACTGAAAGGGACTTGGAACTAAACGCCGCTTTGACCGTACATTGGGTTATTGACCGCGTTGAAGGCGGGATTTATACTATTGATGAACTGCGAATTTTCTTGTTAGAAAAAAATTGAGAAATATCGCCTTAACCCTGAGATCAAGAATGCTCACATCCCGGCCGATGAGGACGGGCGAGAATTCACCGACAAGTTGCTTAAACAAAAGAAGGATCGGATGCTAGAGTTAAATATGACTCCTTTGTCGGAAGAACGAAGGGCCGCCATCCGTCGAGATTTTATCGATACGGTTCTCGAAGTAGAAAAGACAAAGAAGCTGAAATTGGCCAATGTCTGCGTAGAGACCGTTGCTGAAGCCTTTGTGATATAGATGCTTGAAAGTCTTTCCGATGAAGATTTGCTCGGCGCTATCACCAGCTTCGCCATGCGAAAGGTGGCTGAAGATGACGCAAAGGCTAAGGGGTGGGTGGCTGAGCCTATTCCTTCCGATGAGGATGAGATTATTCATGACGACGGGGAAGTAGTCATCATAAGGGAGAGTGCTGTTCGCCAAGCGATCGAGAGGAAAGAAGATGAAGCTTTTCAGCGCCTAGGACAAAGAATTTTGGATCATCTGGATGAGGTGGACAAAAACAAGGCTAACGGCGATGCCGAAAGGCCTTCAACTTCGGCGGCTGAGGTTGCGTCGACGTCGGGGACAAATACAGAAAGTCAGGATCAAACTCTCTGAATGTCGTTATCGCTGTTGTTATTTTTCTCTTTTTGACTTTTTGACGAATGATTATTAAATGTAATAACGTTATGCAGTTATGAATGAAATTTTAATGTTCAATTTTAATTCGATTACTTTCAAGCATCTTATCATTTCTGTGAATGTATTGTTACAATAAGATAAAGGGAATTCTCGAAGTCAAGATATGTCGGAGTAAATATGAATGAGTGTTCAACAAATTATTTGTTTGATTATTCCGACATGATACTTGACATTTGTATTTTACTTTCTCGTGAATTTGTTCAAATTTCCGATGTCGGTATAATTTATAATGTTTCCGGTATCTATGAACTTCTAATTTGAACAAGCCATAATAGACTTGATTTTATCATAGAAATTTTTGAGTCATTTAGGGGACTCAGAAACATTTACTGTCAGCTCATCAAATCAACGTCGGGATTTAAAATCGTAGAGCATAAGCCTCCCCAAACCATCTTCAGGGCTTGGAAGTATCCGACTTTGTTGCGTTTGGCCAGGCCATACCAACTTCAGGGTACGGACACGTTTAGCCTCAGCAATGGGGACCGATTTATTGAGTTCCCGGTGATCGAACAAATTATAGAGGTTCGTCACACAATCTTTATTGACAGCAAAAAGTGATTTTGTACATGAGTCAACAAAAGTCTTTGTACATCGGATGCATAGGATCAGCTCTTGTTTTACTGGAAATATTTCTTCAGAAATGTCGCATGCCAAGGATATTGAAGGGGAACACCATCAAAAGTTTCAAGTCGGTAAGTGCCATTAGAAACTAGACGGTTTACTTTGAAGGGTCCTTCCCACTTTGGTTGCAACGGACAGACATTGGTCCCAGTGATCCTTTTCAAAACGAGGTCCCCTACGACGAATGTGCGCGGCTTTATTTTCGAGTTAATGTACATTCACTACGTCGTTTGTAGGCAGCATTTCAGATTTCAGCTTCGGTTCGTAACTCATCGACCAAGTCAAAATTGGTTCTTACGCTATCTGAGTTTGCTTCCTCTGAGAAATGAGTAATTCGATATGTCAGGGAAGTAAGTTCAACGAGTATTACAGCTTCGGTTCCGTAAGTTAACGGGAACGAAGTTTCTCCCGTTGAGTTCCGTGATGTTGTTCGATAGGCCCAAAGGACATGAGGTAAATCATCAGGCCACGGTCCTTTTGCAGATTCAAGTCAGGTTTTCAAGCCATTCTTGATAATCTTGTTTATTGCTTCTATTTGTCCATTGGCTTGTGGATGGTATGGTGATGAGAAGAAATGTTTGATACCATAATCTTCAGAGAATCCTTCAAATCTCTTCCCCTAGAATTGTCGGCCGTTATCAGTTGTGATGGAATTCGGTATTCCAAACCGAAAAACGATGGACTTCCAAAGGAAATCGTGTAACACCCCGCCTTGACATGAAAATCAGAGTGCGATTTTCGCAAATTCTTTTCTTAATAAAATATATTTATTTGCGAAATCCTTTTCGGGATGCTACTAAAAACCATTCATTGCTTTGAAAATCCGTTATCTTTATTTAAATTTAACTTTGAAGAATAAGCGGATTATTTTAGATCAACTAGCATGTAATACTTTATAAAAATCTGTCTGATAAACCGATTTAAAAATAAAAACTGACATGCTAGTTGAAATATCGTAAAGTGACAGCGGAAGTCAAACGTGGCAAAATATAATCGTACAATAATGTACAATGGCTGCTAGACATATCTGTGACCACGATCCACCAACCAGCTCACTCCTCTAGTCCGACTCTGTAACCTGAAAAACATAAACATCGTGGGGCGTGAGCACTAAAAGCCACTGTGCTCCGCAG